ATTTAACCCCATCACATCAGGGTTTTGATATAACCCCAGAAAACCAATATGGCGGACACCTTTTGGAAAAATTCATCGGATTCGCTTGAAACTTGTTACTCGGGGGTTTTCGGGGTCGCTAATTACGAATATGATATTATTTTTTCAAAATTCAAAATGGCGGATCCAATATGGCGGACACATTTTTGTAAAATTCATCGGATTCGCTTGAAAATCGTTACTCAGGGGTTTTGGGAGTCACCGATTACGAATTTGATGATTTTACAAAAATGTGGCCGCCATATTGGATCCGCCATTTTGAATTTTGAAAAAATAATAATTTCCAAAAATTTTTCCAAAAGGTGTCCGCCATATTGGTTTTCTGGGGTTATATCAAAACCCTGATGTGATGGGGTTAAATGGACCTCGGATTCGGATTCAGCGACCCCAAAAACATACAGTACACATAGTGAGACCTTTGGGTCAGAACACACTTTTTTTTTTGTGTGGCTGTGTTATTGCAAACATATCGTCTACATATTTATTTATGTATTGTATATGTATGTCGTGTTATTTAAGTTCAGCTATGCTGTCGTCCAATATTTTGTCAAGTACGATGCTACCATAGCGAGATAGGGATAATGGGTTACCCATTGGCATGCCATAAATTTGTTGATAAAGGGTGGTATTACATTTGAAGTAATTGTTATCCCGTAAGCAAAACTCGAGTATGGTATGAAATTCTTTTCGTGTAATGTTTGTAAAATTCTCTAATTTTTTCCAATTCTTCATGATTGTCTGTATGGCTAAATGTATCGGGATATTCGTAAATAGTGATATGACATCGAATGATATTAAAATTTCATCTTCTTCAATAGTAATATTTTTTAGATTTTCTTTCAGTTGATAGGTATTCCTTATATTATATTCGTCAGAGATTATGTTTTTTTAAAATGTTGCCAATAAATTTCGATAATTTGTAGCAGGGAACATTTGTAGACGAGGATATTGGTCGGACAGGTGTACCGGTTTTATGAATTTTGGGTAGTCCGTATAATCTAGGAGCATTAGCTGCTGTGCATGTCAAGTGGAATTTTTGTTTTACGTCAATTTTTTTCTGCTTGAATAAGTCGTTTACTATATTGTTGTTTTTCCTCAATAATTGTTGGGTAGGATCACTTCTTATGGTTTTGTATGTTGTTTTGTCATTCAGTAATTCCCCCATTCTATCTTCGTAATCCTTTTTGTAGATCATTACCGTTTTATTTCCTTTATCTGCTTGTGTTTATATTATTTCTTCCTTGTGTTGACCTATAAATTTTCTGGTGTCTGCATACGTTTTCAATATAAATTTTTCTTTCGTATTGTTACTTAATCTGTCATAGAATGTATTGATTCTTGCGGAGATATTGCTTCTTGTTGCATCTTTTTCCATTTCGTCAGTAATATCTTGTATGCCTTGCTCTAAGTCGGCAATTATGGCAATCGGGGAAAATGTTTTCTTAGACACCGGCAATGCGAATTTGCCTCCAAGTGACAGTAGCCAACGCGAATACTTAGGCATGGGAATATCTGTTTTATTAGGTGCAATCCCGTATTCCTCGGACTCGGACTAGTAAAACTGTCAAAAAATAAAAATTCACTCAGAGCGAGAGAGTAACATTGAAAAGTACGGGATCGCTTTCTAGTAAAAAATGGTAACTTCTGTCAACTTCAACATAACCTCTAAATTTTGGTTGTAAATTTTTGCTTATTTTGTATGTAAACGCACTCAGCTCACACATGTAAATAAATAAAAACACTTTCAAATTCATTAGAATCCATTTAAACAAGTAATGAAATACTTTTCAACATGAATTAGCAGAGTGCACTTTTCTTTTGTTTACAATTTTGTTGCCAAACACACTACAGCTGATCGTTTGACACATTTACCAGAATTTACCAGCAAAAAATTCTCGGACTAAAACTGGTAACTTCTGACAGAGTGAGAACCGTATTTACTCTCTTTTTTGTCCTCTCAATAGTCAGAGAACCGAGTACGGGATCGATTTCCAGTAAAATCTGACTGATTCTGACTATTTCTGACTAGTCCGGACTCGTACGGGATCGCAACTATTTATAAACCAATCCTCATTAAATCTTATGCCAAATTTTGTTATATTTTTTGATATTTGCTCATCTAATTTTTTCTCATGTAGTTTCTGCGTGTCTATTTAAACTTTATTAGAAAATTGTTTCTGATTTTCTATTATTTTCTTGTATTCTACTTCCATAAGTCTGCTTTTCAGTAAATTTTCCCCATGTTTAATGTTGGTTGTGACTATTTTTATATTATAATTTGTTTCTTTAATTTCTAAATTGAGGATTTTGAGCAGAAAGCATTGTTCTAGTTTAATAAGTTCACGTCGGGTTGTGTCTAGTTTGAAACAATGTGAGAATTTTCTACATTTACCCTGTAAGTGGGGCGGAATGATACCGTAGTCCTTACATGGAAACAAAAAATAAACACCGCTGCCAGTCTTATTAGAAAAGTCCATCTGCTCAGCGAAGAAGAATTTACAGAGCAAAACAACAAGAAAATAAAAAACATTTTGTACAAAAATAGCTACCCGCACGCGTTAATAGAAAGATTATTACAAACAACAATAAACCAAATTCGCCAACCGAGCCAAAACACCGAAGTACAGCCAAACAACACTAACAAAAAATACATTGGGGTGACATACATACCAGGACTTACAAATAACCAGGTACTCCGAAAAACAATAAAAACTGAGAATGTGATATATGCCCCATAACACACTCCACGGTGCAGCGAACAAGGGTGGCGCCGTCAGTGGTACCGCTACTTTGGTTTTGCCGATTTTGACAGTTGTGGTAACTTGTAAGTAAACCTTTGTTTACAAATCAGCGAAAGAGAAATTTGAATTATGAGTGAAAAATAAGTTTAGATTGTGTTAATTTGCAATTTGTGAGCGCTTTTTGAGTTGAAGACTTCGTAAAAACTAATACAATGAAGTGCTGTGTGTTAAAGTGCGACAACCGCCAAGATGCAAGAAGCGTAGATGCAAGTGTAGCGCCGGGACGAATCGCTGCATTTTGTGTACATAGGGCACGGCAACAGCATTTCCTCACAATGATTTTGTTTCTGCTCCACGCAGCCTCGATAAGCAAGTTAACTAATCAATCCCGCAGAGATGTTGCTGTTGTTTGCTG